ATGCATAATGATCGTAGAATAGAGCCACTGATCGCCGATGATAGTGCAGAAAACGCAGCAAGGATGCTCAATGGTTGCTCAAGCATCGCAGTGGACGCCTTGGGTTGCACAGGGGACGTACAGTGGAGGCAGGCAGGTGGCTCGCAGTTTTACAGGTAAAATCAAGATTCGGTCGTTCAAAGGACGCACAAGGGACACAGACGCCTTTACACTGAGACACGATTTAATTGCTTCGGCGACCGTTGAGCGTCCTGACCACATTTTTGAACGCAGAAGGGACGCAGAAAGGACGCCGTCCAGTGTAAAGGGGCCCTAATACAGTTAAAGATAGTATGAGATAATTTTGCTTGCTCAGTTATCCGTCAGTTATCATTTTCCGCGGATATCCTACACATCCTTAATGAAGGCCTGATCAAGGAATTGTGCTGGACATTGGGGGTGGTGGAGGGTCTGGATTTGGTTCGCATATAACAAGCCTACTGTTACATTGATTGTACGTGGAGCAACATTAATGTGCTGAAACATGAATGGATGATCATATTCCCCGAAGATATTCTCGACAAAATTATTTAAGTTCCCTTTCCAGCACTTGGATCCCAGGCTCTGTGTTGAGGTTTCCGTTGACCACTGCCTGCTCGCTAACACAATATATATATAGTAGGCAATCCACCCCATACACGACTTCGACCAGTGACAGAGAATTGAGATTATACTTCTTACCTGCTGTTCTCCAAACCCTTACGCGTCCTTAAATTCTGACAACAGAAAACCTGCTTTCCCCTGAGAACAGTGTCAATGTCCAGTTATTGGCTGGTGTCCATGTCAGAGTTCCAGTATACCACCTGACTCGACGTAGACGATTCCTGGCAGTGATCACTGGTCTTCTAACAGAAACCCTGCCAAGATAACGGCAGTTGTGCAGACGCCTTTTGACGGCAAACTCAGAAACATGGTATGCCCTGTTCTAGTAAAGTGTTGAATTCAGGTCCCTAAATGTCATGAAACGTTTAACACTCTCTCCTCTCTAGGTGTTGTTTCCTTTTGTCGCCCTTACCAGACAAGATTGATTATTGATTACAAATAGCATGGACATGTAGAATATTTGATTACCATTCGGCTTCATGTCCATGGGAGCTCTGAGTCCCACAATGAATATGCCAAAAAGTTAATGAATATTTCACTCAAATGTATAACTTCCAGAAAAAGAAGCCAATTAGACTGCTTTTCCAACTCAGGCTGCATTTTAGTACAGCGTTTCTTTTTTTAAGGTTTGACAGTCATAAGTAACACGATTTTCCCATCATGGTCATCATGACAGCAGCACCAAAATTGTGTTTTCTTCTATTTTGAAGCAACATTACATAATGCTTAACAGCATATATGACCATCAATTTTTATTTAATAGAATATTAGTAACATGGACTTTCAGAAAACATGACAAGCAAAGGTCTTCAGGATCATGGAACTTCAAAGTCACACCTTGAAAATGCCAATAAGTGAAAAATTAAATTTTCACAAAAAACTGTTTAACTGCCAGAAAAAATTACCAAACAGACTGCATTGCCTACTGAAGCTGTATTTTAGACCCATATTTCTTTCCTGTAAGTTTGATAACAGTAAGTGACATGATTTTCTTTAAATGGTCATCATGGGAGCAGTGCCTAAAATATGGGTTTCTTCGAATCTTGATGCAATATTACATAATGTTTAACAGCATAATGACCATCAATTTTTAATCATAAAATATTAGTATCATGGATATTCAGAAAATGTGACTAGCAAAGATCTGCAGGCTCATGGAACTTCAAAGTCACATCTTAAAAATGCCAAACTGTAAAAAAGACAGCACTGTTCTGAAATGGGTTTATTTCCATTTTAACACTTTTTAAACAAAACAAAATAAACAGTATACTTCCA